TAGTAACTTGCTAATCATGTTAACAACACGCTAGTAACATGCTAAACATGCTAGTAACTTGCTAATCATGTTAACAACATGCTAGTACCTTGCTAGTCATGCTATCAACATGCTAGTAACTTGTTAATCATGTTAACAAAATGTTAACACCATGCTAGTAACATGCTAATTATGCTAGAAACATGCTAGTAACATCCTAATCATGGTAGAATCATGCTAACAACATGTTAATCATGCTAGAATCATGTCAACAACATGCTAGTAACTTGTTAATCATGTTAAAAACATGCTAGTAACTTGCTAATCATGCTAACAACAGGCTAATATGCTAATCATGCTAGAAACATATTAACAACATGCTAGTAACTTGTTAAGCATGCTAATAAAATGTTAACACCATGCTAGTAACATGCTAATAATGCTAGAAACATGCTAGCAACTTGTTCAACATGGTAACAAAATGCTAGCAACTTGTTAAACATGTTAGTATCATGCTAGTAACATGCTAATCATGCTAGCAACACTTTATTAACTTGCTAATTATGATAACAACATGCTAGTAACTTGCTAATCATGCTAGAAAAATGCTAGCAAAATGTTAAATATGTTAGAAAAATGCTAGCATTATGCTAGTAACATGATAATCATGCTAGTAACATGCTAGAATCATGCTAGTAACTTGCTAATCATGTTAACAAATGCTAGTCACATCATGTTAGAAACATGCTATTACCATGCTAGTAACATGCTAATAATGCTAGAATCATGCTAGTAACATGCTAATCATGCTAGCAACATGCTAGTAAACTTGCTAATCATGTTAACAAAATGTTAACACCATGCTAGTAACATGCTAATAATGCTAGAAACATGCTAGCAACTTGTTCAACATGGTAACAAAATGCTAGCAACTTGTTAAACATGTTAGTATCATGCTAGTAACATGCTAATCATGCTAGCAACACTTTATTAACTTGCTAATTATGATAACAACATGCTAGTAACTTGCTAATCATGCTAGAATCATGATAGCAACATGTTAGTAACGTTGCCAATTATGTTAACAACATGCTAGTAACATGCTAATCATGCTAGAAACATGTTAGTAACTTGCTAATCATTCTAACAACATGCTAGTAACATGCTAATCATGCTAGCAACATGCTAGTAACTTGTTAATCATGTTAACAACATGCTAGTAACTTGCTAGTAACTTGATAATCATGCTAGAAAAATGCTAACATGCTAGTAACATGCTAATCATGCTAGAAACGTGCTAGCAACTTGCTAATCAAGCTAAAATAAAGGCTAACACCACGATAGTAACATGCTGATCATGCTAGAATAATGCTAACAACATGCTAGTAACTTGCTAATCATGCTAGAA